GCCCCCTGGTGGACACTAGAGAGAATGCAGCTTTAACACACGAAGCACTGACTTCACTTGATATATTTGATATTGTCCACACAGAGATATTTGTCTTTTACTGATATGACACATAACATATTATAATTATAGCTGCCTTTATAGAACGCAACATGTACTAAAGCACACACAACCACATAGACATTACACAACCAGACAGGAACAAGCAACCTATTGCACAACTCAGACATTACATCATGAATCTATTGCACAACCAACACAACTACTAGCAACAATATTTAAAATTCTTATGGAGGTAGACAATGAGTCCATATCATCCGTACTAGAGCTGGAGGATATGTCTCCTTCATTTAATTAATCTCAGTTTGTAATAATCAATTTTATTATTTTTTTTAGACCTAAAATATATTATGTTTCAAAAATGTTTCAGTTTTCCTGCATTTTGCTGAAAAAAACAAATGAAATTGTATTAAATATTTTTTAATGGTCCTGACGGGTGAATTCACAAAGAATAGATTGTAGCTGCTGATGAAACCGCCATCTGTCTCGTCTCTAAGGTCTGATTCATTTAAGATATTAAAGTGCAAACACAAACATTCCATTCCATTATCCAAACCGCTTATCCTATTCAGGGTCGCTGGAGCCGATCCCAGCTGACACTGGGCGAAGGCAGCGGTACACCCTGGACAGTTCGCCAGTTTATCGCAGTGCACCAAACACAAACATAACGAGTGACATTTGATAAAGTACAAATGTAGAAACAAATGTTTTAATAAAGGAATTGAAACGTGACCGAGTTAACTATCTCAGTCCGTCAGTCATCATCGACTCTCTGTAGTTTCATGAAGTAGTGATTGGTTGTTGATTGGTTGTTGTAGAAGTGCACATTATTGAGTTGGATCTTCTTTTAGAGACTCTATGGTAGTTGGTTCTCACACTCACCTGCTCCAGAGTGCCGTCCAGGTGAGGACTACGACAGTCTGCACAGCTGAAGACGGCACAGTCAGCGTGGACATGCAGCTCACACACTGAAACACACACAATAAAATAAACAAAATAATCAACAAACGGACTCTGGTTCTTTCATCCTGTTTAAATTAATCTCAAATAAAAATTATAATAGCTAAAGCGTTCCTTTTTTTTTTCTCCGGTCTTTTCACTTTAGGAAAAATATGTTTGTGAGTTTCTTCATTAAACTTTTATGTAAAAAAACATGCCAATTTCTTTTGTATTTTTTATTATTTACGACACAATTTCAATATTTTTTCCCCATTATTATGGTTTATTGACTTGCATAACGTTCTGCTTTTAAAAAACATGTCACAATAAAAAATAAAACCACGAATGTAGCTACTGGAGGATCGTTTCTGTTGCAGAGTTCAAGGGAAGGTTTAATAAGCAGACATGTTTTTAATTTAAAAGTCATGACTTATTATTTATGTGTATTTGAGCTGTACAGGCTGAAAATGATTGAAATAAACGAAATGAATCTCTCTGCAGGTCTGACTTTGTTCTCACAGAATGTTTTTATTGGTTTATGATTTATAGATAATAATCCGATGCTGGTTGAACTGGTTTAACTGGAGGATGAAGCTGGTTCTGACCTTCGCAGCGCAGCGCCGCGTTCCCCTCCATCTGTTTCCTGCAGACGCAGCAGAAACGTTTCTTCTGGCCGGCGGGTCCGAAGCAGTGAGCCACAGGAACCTGCAGGGGGCAGCGAGGAGACTCGGTCAACACGCCTGAAGCTAACGCTAACGGAAAAAACACGACAACGTGTTGATCCTCAAGCAGGAAGAACTAAAACATTAAAACATGTTAACACAACTAAATAAAACATTAACAAGGAAATAAAACCGTAAACATGACAGTTTAAAAAATACCAAGAGTCTTGTTCTTGTACATATTTGGTCAAAATAAACCACATTTAAATGGATGACAATAACAGATCAGTAATTAAAAAAAGCTTTTTAGAACACTGAGCTTTGAGTGAATAATGGCTCCAGAGAGGATTAGGATTATCTGTAGGTCCTGAATGTGACAACAGCGTTACTAAAAACAACATGACATGTTATACAACAGCATGACGGGTCAACATAAAGCACCAGGTGTCGTGGGTGGGCCACAGCCCGGGGGCCCGAGATCTGAACTGTGAGGGCCGGCAGCTGGTGTTCACCAAAACACATGAAGATATTAAGAAGGCAGCGTAAAGGAGGAGTCAAACTCACCATCAAATAAAGAGATAACTGGCCTGTTTAAATATTTATGAGTAACACATAAGTATAAGTGTAAAAAAAGGGTTAAAACATGTTTTTATTCCCCAAAATACAGTATTTAAATAGTGTTTTATTTTGGCACAGTTACAGGAACATAAGTATCTTAATGCTACAATTAAATTCTGCAGGAATCCTAAAAATAGTCCTAAAACATGACTCAGCATTTTTTCACTTCCTGTTCCCTCATCTTGAAGTTGAGTTTATTGAATGTGGAGGATAAAGTACAATATGTAACTCTGAGATGTAGTACAGTATGAAGTACAATATGTACCTCTGAGATATAGTACATTATAAAGTACTGTGGTGGCGGGCGTGGGTGGGCTCAGCTGTGGAGGGGACGGAGTGTGGGAGTGGTTCAGGGAACGGTGCCGGGAAGAGACTTAATTAGGCGCAGCTAAAACGGATCCTGATTGTCTCACTCTCGGCTGTATTTAATCACCAGTAGGGACGGAGGCGAGAGGGACAGCTCGGGACGAGCGACAGTGGTACAGCAGGACGGGAGATCACTGCAAACTCCCGCGGCGTGTGCTCGGAGGCAAGGCAGGAGAGCACACGGCCAAGCCCAGTCAGATTATATGACAATAAAGAACATTTGAAACCGTCACTCAACTGTGTGCTGGCGTCATTGTGCTCACAAGACCCACCGGGTAGCAGCAAACCTGTTACAAGTACAATATGTACCTCTGAGATGTAGTACATTATAAAGTACAATA